CTTCGTGTAAAACTCGCATATACGTGTATAAAATATACGGTGTTCCACCGTTCAGCTAACATATAACGTATTTACACAAACATATCTTGGATTTATATAATAATTTTTGCATTAACTAAATTTTTTTTAGCTAAAGTTCCAACATTGATTTATAGAATTTCATATAACAATTCCAACATTGATTAAAATACAGTTTTGTACATAAAACTATATTAATTTTATATCATAAATATTTTATTCTTTTATCTATATTTAATAACCATCCTTTTGTCTATTTGTAACATCAGAGTTTGCCAAGTAGCATACATGCACGCATACATGAAGAAGAGACGTGTGAATATGACAAAATGTTTTTGGTAATAACCTTAATTTGATGATTTTCTTATTTTCTGCATATTACTAAAAGCTACTCCTATAATATATTTTAAACTTTCTTCTGTATATGAAAAAAATTCCTAATTATGACAACCAAATATTTTCCCGTATTTATTACACTAAAAATCTTCTCCTTGTGCAAGTAAAAATCTCATAGGTAAACAGAGAATATTTGTATTCTCAAAAAAATAAAAAAACAGAGAATATTTGTGTATATAATTAAGTGTAATTAGATAAATCGATATATACTAAACACAAATATGGAAATTCGTAGGATCTTTCGCTATAATTTGCTTCCTTTTATATTCATTCTCTTTGTATATTTATAGAGCAGAAAGATCACATTTTTCATCTTCAAGCATTCCTCTGTTTTTCTTGCATCCTCTGTTTTCTTTGTCATTGCTCCACTAAACGATTCTCTAGCATCAATGATCGAATCAAAACCTGTTGGTGTTTCACCGACAAAACCAAAACTACAACCAAACTGTTTTAACCTCTCTCAAGGGATTCTTCAAGCCAAAGACTCTTGTCCAATCCTCTTCGACGTTCCTCAAAACCTAACTTTCACACCGTTTTCATCGTCTCACTCCATTTCCACCGATGCTCCTCTCTCAATCCTCCTCCGTGCTCAAGCCAACTCTCACAAAGGAGGGTTCCTCGGCTTCACCAAAGATTCACCTTCTCATCTTCTCACAAACTCACTGGGGAGATTCGAAAACAGAGATTTCGTAAGTGTTTTCCGTTTCAAGATGTGGTGGTCCACGTCTTGGATCGGAAAATCCGGGTCGGATCTTCAAGCCGAGACTCAATGGGTGATGCTAAAGATTCCTGAGATTGATTCTTACGTTGCTATAATACCAATCATTGAAGGGTCTTTTAGAGCTGCACTTAACCCTGGTGAAAAAGGTAATGTCTTGATCTCTGTAGAGAGTGGTTCTACTCAAGTTAAAGAGTCAACTTTCAACTCCATTGCCTATGTTCACATCTGTGACAGTCCTTATAACCTCATGAAAGAGTCTTTTAGTGCACTTCGTGTTCACATGAACACTTTTAAGCTTCTTGAAGAGAAGAAGCTTCCGAAAATAGTCGATAAGTTTGGCTGGTGTACTTGGGATGCTTGTTACTTGACTGTTGACCCTGCAACAATTTGGACCGGTGTTAAGGAGTTTGAAGAAGGTGGGGTATGTCCTAAGTTCATCATCATTGATGATGGTTGGCAAAGTATAAGCTTTGATGGTGATGACTTAGACAAAGAAGCAGAGAATCTTGTTCTTGGTGGAGAGCAGATGACTGCGAGGCTTCATAGCTTCAAGGAATGTAACAAGTTTAGAAAATATAAAGGTGGATCCTTTTTAGCATCTGATGCATCTCACTTCGATCCTCACAAACCTAAGATGATTATATACAAAGCGACCGAGCGGATTCAAGCGATTATAGAGAAAGCGAAGCTGATTCGTGAGTCTGGTGAACAAGACCTACACCATCTTGATGAAAAGATCAACAAGTATAGCGAGGAACTCAAAGCAATGCTTGATGATGTTGAGAAAGAAGAGTCTTTGGGTTCTGAGGATGGATCAGGCTCAGGTATGGAAGCTTTCACAAGGGATTTGAGGTTAAGGTTTAAGGGTTTAGATGATATATATGTGTGGCATGCTCTATGTGGTGCTTGGAATGGTGTTAGGCCTGAAACCTTAACACATTTGAAGACAAAGATTGTTCCTTTTGAGCTTTCTCCTGGTCTAGATGCTACAATGACTGATCTTGCAGTCGACAGGATTGTGGAAGCTGGGATTGGTCTTGTTCATCCTTCTAAAGCTCATGAGTTCTACGATTCGATGCACTCTTATCTTGCTAGTGTTGGAATTACAGGGGCCAAGATTGATGTTTTCCAAGTAAGTTTTTTGTTTCCTTTACTCTCACTATGTTTTTCACATACTATATTTCTTCTTTACATTTACAAGTTGTGATCTTGTGTGTGTGTGTGTTTGGTTTCAGACCTTAGAGGCAGTATCAGAAGAACATGGAGGAAGAGTGGAGCTTGCTAAAGCTTACTACGATGGCTTGACCAAATCCATGATTAAGAATTTTAAAGGATCTGGAATTCTTGCTAGTATGCAACAATGCAATGACTTCTTCTTCCTTGCCACAAAAGAAATTTCTATTGGAAGAGTTGGTAATATATTGATACATAAAAAGCTTTTATTTTTCCTTTGTATTGTTTCTATAAAGTTTTTATAAAAAGTTTTCAATTTTCATTCAGGTGATGACTTTTGGTGGCAAGACCCACATGGTGACCCACAAGGTGTGTATTGGCTACAAGGAGTACACATAGTTCACTGTGCTTACAACAGTATCTGGATGGGTCAAATGATTCAACCAGATTGGGACATGTTCCAATCAGACCATGTTTGTGCCGAGTACCATGCCGCGTCTCGAGCCATCTCTGGTGGGCCAATCTACATCAGTGACCATCTTGGAAAAGCCTCGCATAACTTTGATCTCATCAAGAAATTCGCTTTCCGCGATGGCACCATCCCAAAATGTCTCCACTATGGTCTTCCCACTAGAGATTCTCTCTTCAAGAACCCTTTGTTTGACAAAGAATCAATCCTCAAGATCTTCAACTTCAACAAGGTAATGAGTTTCATCAATCCAAATTCAAATGTTTAAAGATCGAAACTTTATTAAAAACCCTTGTGATGATTTGTTACAGTTTGGAGGAGTAATTGGAGCATTTAACTGTCAAGGAGCTGGTTGGAGCCCAAAGGAGCATAGGTTCAAGGGATACAAAGAATGTTACAAGGCAGTTTCAGCAACAGTTCATGTCTCAGACATCGAGTGGGATCAAAACCCAGAAGCTGCGAGTTCTCAGGTCAGCTACGCCGGAGATTATTTGGTCTACAAGAAACAATCCGAGGAAATCATTTTCATGAACTCGAAATCAGACCCGATGGAGATAACCCTAGAGCCATCCTCGTTTGACCTATTCAGTTTCGTGCCGGTCACGGAACTTAAAACGTCAGGGGTTAGATTTGCACCTCTAGGTTTGATCAACATGTTCAACTGTGTGGGAACAGTTGAAGAGATGGAGGTTAGTGGTGATAATGTCATTAGGGTTGAGGTTAAAGGTGAAGGAAGATTCATGGCGTCTTCGAGTTGTGCTCCAAAGATGTGTTACTTGAACAACAAGGAAGCTGAGTTTAAGTGGGATGATGAAACTGGTAAACTCAGTTTCTATGTTCCTTGGATTGAACAATCTGGTGGCATCTCTCAACTTTCTTTCAACTTCTGAAGAATTTGTTTGGATTTTCTTTTTCTTTGTTCTTGCATTGTTTGATCAGAATTGGGATTTTAGGTTTGGTTTTTTCATTTGCAATATTTATTATTAAGCAAATTTCTAATGCTTTCTTCCTTCTGTTTTTGTATGCTTTCAAACCCGGCTTAAGCCTTAACCTCTCGCAAACGATTGAATAAACAATCTTTGAGTGAGTTAAAAAGACTCAATTGCCAATAATTTTTCTGAATTATAACATTTTAAGATTTAGAACAATATTAACCAGAAAATTATGTAGATTATTATGCTTGTATAGCTGGTTTTCTAATAATTCAGACAAATAATAATTGATTAACCAACAAAATATATATATATATAATGGTTTTTCAAGGCAAGAAATTACGGTCTTCCATTGCATAGAGCTGAAACCATGTGCCTCAAGTTGAGTATTTCAAATTGTAAACCTGAAGATATCAAACTGTGGGTTTTAGTCGCGGTGTCTCGCTCCGTACGCAATCTGGATATCCTTTATTCTTCTTGTCCGACAGATCCGAACGTATTGCCGAGTAGCATGTATACCTGCAAATCGCTCGTGGCCCTTGAAACTCTGTGGCGATATTCTCTTGGATGTCCCTCGAATGGTTTGTCTTGCCTCTTTGGAAACTTTACAACTTCAGCATGTGACATACTTCAATGAAGAATCGCTTCAACGGTTTATATCTGACTGCCCTGTTCTCAAACGTCTATTGGTGGATTGTAATACGAATGACAATATGGGAAAATTCACTGTTATCACTCACTCTTTGCAGAGTTTATCACTCTATATACCTTATAAATGTAATGTACATGGGTATGTGATAAATACTCCTTCTTTGAAGCATTTCAAACTTATAGATCATAATTCTAAGATCCTTTACTGTTTGATTGAGAACATGCCTAAGCTGAAGAAGGCATATGTGGATGCTGAATTCCATGATATCGAGCGTCTCATCGGATCATTCACATCTGTCAAGCATCTTACAATATGTTCAGAGGTAATCAATCACTTTCCATTTATCAACTCATTTTATAGAATCCTCGGTTAATAATTTCAGTATTGTGTGCAGGCTATGTATAGATGTGATGGTTTTGTCTTCTACCAGCTTGAACATCTGAAACTGTGTGTATGCAATGAGTATTCGTTAAATCTCCTTGGGCGGTTTCTCAAAGATTCTCCTAACGTAATGGATGTTAGTTTTTTCTATAAACTATTATTTCTTTTTGTCTAATGCACAGTTTGGTTATAATCTAATTCTTCTGCTTGATCTCAGGATCATGAGGAGAATTATCTGGTTAACTGGAATCAACCAAGTACTGTTCCTGAATCTATCTTGTCGAGTCTACAAACTTTCAGTTGGTCGCGATACTCAGGAAGACCAGAAGAGAGAAATGTTGCTGTTTATATATTGAAAAATGCTCGTCACTTAAAGACTACAACAATCAAGTCTTTGGAATGTCAGGTTCCGATACTTGAGATGGTCAAGGAGTTGACACTTTCTTTCAGAGCTTCAACAATGTGCCAACTCGCATTTGATTGATGATTTGATGTCTTGCACTTATTTCAAATGCCAGATGATAGTA